ATTCCTCATTTAGCAATCAATTAACAACCTAATCACATGCATCTGACTCTGTTGTTAAATGAGGAATGTCTTATAGAAGACGTACCCCCTCGAAATCAAAATTTCCTAGGACTACGAAGTCATAAGAGCAAGGTTGTAAGACACAAGGTTAAGGTACAAAAGTCAGTTGCTTTCTTATACACTAGCATCAAACAGTTTGAAATTAAAACATCATTTACAATAACACCAAAGAAAAGAAATATGTAAACAGATCTAACAATATATGCAGGATCTGTATGCAGAAAACTGAGAAGTTCTAAAACAAGTGGAAAGATGTTCCATATCTGTGGATCGGAAGATTCAAAATTGTTCAAGTGTTAATTCTTCCCAGCCCAATCTATAGATTAAACACAAGCCCAGTCAAAATTCCGACAAGCTGATCTGGGTATACCACTAATACAATTCTGTAGTTTACAAAGCAAAGGACCCAAAATAGACAATACAACCCCAAAGAAGAACAAAGTGGAAGGACTAAGGCTATTCAACCCTGAGTCTTATTGTAAAACTGTTTTAAGCAATATAATGTGGTACTGGTAAAAGAATAGGTAGATCACTAGCTCAGAATAAGAACCTACAAGCAGACCCACACAAATAGATCAACTTGTCCACGACAAAAGAAACAAAGAATTCACTAGAGAAAGAATAGTCTTCAACAAATGGTGACAGAATAATTCCAAATGGAAAAAAAAAATCTGGATGTGAAATCTATTCTTTTCATGAAAATTAATTCAAAATAGTTCTTAGAATCTATATAAAAGTGTAGAACATTTAGAAGATAATACAGGGAAAATACCTGGGTGAATTGTGTTTGGCAGTGAGTTTTTAGACATGATATTGAAAGCACGCTCCTTAAAAAAAATATTGGTAGTTGGGATCTTATTGAAATAGTACACAATTTCATGAAAGATACTATTGAGAGAATTTTAAAAACCACAAACTGAGAGAAAATATTTGTAAACACACATATTTGTTTTTTGTCTTTTGAGACAGGGTCTCACTATGTAATTGAGACCAACCTGGAACTCACTATGTAGCCCAGGCTGGCCTCAAACTCACAGCAATCCTCCTGCATCAGCCTCCTGAGTGCTGGGATTATAGGCATGCGCCACCACGCCCAGCTATGTAATCACACATATTTGATAAAGGAATTGTATCCAAATTATACTTATACCATACAAAGCTAACTTTAAAAGGACAAAAGCTTTGAAAAGCCACCTTATCAGAAGGATCTCCAGCTGACAAGCATATGAAAAGAAATTCATCATCATAGGGAATTGCAAATTAAAACAATAATGAGATATAAATATATACCTATTGAAGGGCTAAAGTCCAAAAAACTAACAGTGGTAGATGTTGATGAAAACATAGAGAAACAAGAACTTTCATGTTGCAAATGTAAAACTGAAAAGCCACTTTCAGAGGCTATTGGGCTGTCTCCTATAAAGCTAGAGTAATTATAATCTTACTATATGAACCAGCAATCACTCTTCTAGGTACAGACTAATTGAACTGAAAATGTACATTCACATACAACCTGCATGTAAATATGTACAGCACATTTAATCATTACCATCCCAAACTGGAAGCAACCAACATGTCTTGCAAAAGCTACATAAATAAGCAAATTGTGGTGTATCTGTGCACTGGGATACTATATAACAATAAAAAGAAGGATGCTATCAACCCATGAAAAGATGTGCAGGAACCTGGATGTGTTGGTTGGATTTCCCATCACTGGGACAAAATACCTGACCGCCACAATTTAAGGAGGAGAGGCTTCTTTGGCTCATGGCTTCAGAGGGTTCAGCTGATGGTTGGCTGGCTCCAAGGCAGAAATGGCGTGGTGGAGTGGCATGGTGGGAGGTGTGGTATAGGAAACTTGTTCAACTTATGGCAGCCAAGAAACAGAGGAAGAGAATACACTCTTCAAGGTCACAACCCCTGTGACCTACCTTCTCCAACTAGACCCCATCTCCCAGCAGTGCACTGAGCTGTGAATTCAGCAATAGACCGATGAGGTGAGGCTCTCATAATCCAGTCACCTTCCAGAAGCCCGACCTTTGAATACATGGGACTTTGGGGACATTTTAGATCTAAACCACAGCATTTGGTGACACAAGCCAGGATGAAAAGGCCATATATGCGTAGTTCCAACTTCGTGGCATTCCAACTATATAGCACTGTGATCGGTGATTAGGGTGTTTCGGAGGAAGGGGGAAGGCTAAACGTGAAATGGGCTTTTTCGGGACTGTGAAATGTGTCTGATACCACATTTGTAAATTCTAGACAGCACACTTGTCAAATCCCACAGACTGTGTGGTACAAAAAGGTGGACCTTGAACTATGCAAATATTTAAAAATCAATTAGACTGGAGAATCCCAGGGAGAAATGGAGACTGTGACGAGGGTCTAACTGCATTACAAGCGTCTGAAACAATTTCCCTGAAGGGGGCCGGGGGATTGCTGACCTAAGTAACTTTGAAAATGAGCAGAGTCTGAAGATTCAACCAATAGGATCTGCACATTAGCAGCGCTCTACTCTACTTGATAAATTTGTCTCTCATGGCACAGGGGTAGCAATTCTGCAACTGTTATATGTGTGTCCTGGTATGGAACAATCATGCAGATGGATGACAGATAGGGGCCCAGGTCACTTGTTGTCTGAGTCTGCAGTTAAGCAAGGGAAAGAAATTAGAAAAAAAAAATGTAGGAAGTGCACACACAATATGTCAGATGGCTTTGTGTACGGAAGGCATTATCATGTATACAAACTATTTGCATCCTGAAGGCCCTACTTATTATACATGCAGTGTTACTATTTTCACATTATCTCATGCTGATTCCCAAAGCACAGATTCAACTTTTACCAAACATTCCCCTCTTCTGAGCTGTTCCTTTCAACACTTGCTACAGACCATATTTTGTGGTCTGTAGGAGCTGCATGATTCAGCGCAGATGACTATAATATCTAAACCAAAAGAAATGATTTACTTGGAATATAAAATTTTAAATAACATTAACTGCTCCTACGTGACTGCAGGTAGAAAGTGGAAAATTCTCATTTTGTTTGGGATAATACTAAATACCTGGAAAGTTCTAAATAATCACATCTCTAGTACTGTATAGACCAACCATCTGAATATTTGGATTTCTCTCTTTCCATCTGGTAATTACAATACAGCATAGACATTGCCAGAGCTTCAAAGTTAAATTATTTCCAAATGCTTTTGATAGCATCTAATTAAAAGTAAAATGTATTTCAATAAACTGCACTTTTTTATATGCACCTATTTTTTCATATCTGCAGAAAGTATAAAACAGGGTGCTAAAACAGAAACCTATCATTCTTCAAGTCCACTGAAGGTTTGAGAACTACCTTCACAGAATTGGGTTTCACACATACTGTTAATTTGCCTCAATACACAGGCGAATAATGTGCCACAGATTGAAACATTGTTCTATTTCAATCAAATTTCCTGCCTATGAAGAGCTGTAAAACACTAGAAAATATTATTGTGCCAATAAAGCATTGTGTCTGGCCAAATCGCTTTAAAATGAGGCAAGGCATAATAAATATATGCAGAACTTACACACATACCCGCATAGCCATGCAGAATACCCTTTCAGAGTTAAATAACAGAATCAACTGTCTGGATTGATTTGGACATAGACATGTGGACCCACTGAATTTCTAGGGCCCTTTATGTGCCAAGATTCCATAATTTCTTGCTTGATTTATGTCCTCACATCCCCTTATTGCCTTTGTGCAGATAGCAGCAATGTTCCCTGGAGTCATTTATACCCCCAAACTGCTCTGCTTACCCCCCAGCATCCCCCTTTGCTCCTGCAACCCATCCGCATGCGCACAAATGTTTGCAAATAGTTGGGGATTTGTAGTGCAAAGGAAGTGAGCATCGCAAACCTTTCTTTCATCATCTCTCTCTTTTTCCTTTTCTTTCTCTTCTTCTTCTTCTTTCCTTTTTAAGTATTGCGTGACCCATTCATCGCGCTGCCCAGTTAGGCAAATGTCTTTGTCTTGACTTGATCTGCAGTTCTTTTCTCATTTATTATATGCATGGCAGCAACAACAACGACAACAAAAACAGCAACATGGCACCTTGGGTGGCATCTGATTCATCAGGAAATTTGTCCTGCACTGATGTGTGGGTGGGGAGGACATGGGCGATATGACCCGGATGCACCGGCTGCCCGTCACCCGCAATGCAGACGTGTTTCGTATGCCTGGCCCAGATGTGACTCCTCTGGCATTATTAACACGTTCCAGATGCCAGGCGCCCTCCTCCGCGTGTATGCACCTCCATGCCACATAGTTCACGTGTTTATTTATGAGGCACGGCATTCTTACATTTCATCTGTGGCAGTCCCTATTAAAACTAAGAAGTTTCAACTGCTCTGGAAATGGATGAAGAATTTTTAAATTGCTATGAAATGTGATCTTCATTTCAAACTGACTTCTCAAATAATTATTGAATTCATAATGCAAATTTCTGATCTTTCTCTTTGCCTCGTGAGAAATTACGGAACTGGGTATACACTTTAAAGATAGCTAAGAAATTAAATATTCGCACACATAATACATTGTAGTGATTTTTTGCCTTCTTTTCATTTCTGATCTCCAAAGCTTATCTTAAAGAGCAGTGTCTATACATTGCGCATTGTTATTTCAAGTTAATTCAGTCCACGAATCTAGGAAGAGAAATTTGGAATATTCTAGGAATGGCTTGTTCTTATAGATCCACGGGGAAAGAGCTCATTTTATAAAAATATAGGCAAACTGTAGCTCCAAACTCTCATAAATTATAACTCCATGAATTTAAAGAAGCATTTTAATTTTATAAATGTTGGCTTATGATCTAAAGTATAAAATATAAAACAGTAGTTTCCCTGAATTAAAATCGAGTAACTCAACTTTTTATTTAAAAAAAAATCTTTTATGGGAGAAATGTGAAAGAGAATAAAATTCTTAGAAAGGTGAAAGATACAAATGACAGAGGGTCATGGTCCTCTCCTTTGATGTCAGGAGTCATGAACGTAGGGCTGGGAACACAGCTCAGTGGTAGAGCACTCACCTAGCAGAGCAAAACGGAGGCAGAAATACTGGACTTTAAAAGTCAGCAACATTATAATTTATGATAGATAACCATCTCCAAAATCAGCTATGGGTAATGAATGACCAAAATGCTGATGAGAAATTTTTGTTTGTTTGTTTGTTTTGTTTTGTTTTTGGTTTGTTTGTTTGTTTGTTTTTTGGTTTTTTGAGACAAGGTCTCACTCTGTAGTTGAGACTGTCCTGGAACTCACTATGTAGCCCAGGCTGGTCTCAAACTCACAGTGATCCTCCTGCCTCAGCCTCCCGAGTGCTGGAATTATAGGCGTGTGCCACCACGCCCGGCTTGATGAGATTATTTTTTAAAGCTATAGTACAACTTTCATTATCAAGAGCAGACAGCCACAGTTGCTAATTGAGTGCTAATGTAACCATATTTTAAGTCCCAATTATCATTGAAGAGGTTTCAGGTCCTCATAATGTCTATTCTTCTTCCTTCAATAAGCCTGTTTCCCTACTTGGGGATATATTTATCTGTGTCATAAATAAAGGTGCTAACATGCTCATTAACTTGAACCAAAATCACAAAATAGCTTGGAACACTGAAGCAATTATCTCACTAATTCAAGCAAACATAAAAAAATTTTTCTTTTCCCTGAAATTAAAAAAGAAAATAGGATACCTTTTTTCCTGAACTCCAGACATCTATCTCAGATTTGCTCCATGGATATTTTTGCTCAGACACGTATGTATAGCAACCTTCATTCTCTGAAAGGAGATTTAGAGCAATTCTAAGAAGACCTCAGATCATCAGCTTCTGAGGACAGAGCAGTAGAAGGAGAAAATGAGCCAGGGACTCCTGCTTACCCGACATGGAAAGGAGACAGTGGGCCTTGCCCCTCTTACATTTGGAAGCCACGCCCAATAGTTTTGGTTCTTGATCTTATACACTTCTAAGGAGCCAGAACTGCACACAGAGACTCTTTTCTCTAAGCCTCCCCGCTTCCTCACAGAGTTGAAGAAGGTAAACAAACTGCAGGCCTGAGGTGCGGACTCTCGCAACTTCTCCCTGGCCTGTGACATGGGGCCCGGCTGGTTAAAGAACAGAACGCTCTGGAGACTGCGTGGACTCCAGTCCGGTCCGGGGCACCAGGGTCAGGCGCAGAGGACAAGGACAGGGTGTGATCTCCAAGCTGGAGCAGGGCGAGGGGCAGGGTGCTGGGGTCCCAAGCTGCTCTGGTCACCCCTCCCCTGACACGGACGTGCACTGCCACACGGGCGCAGGGTGGCAACAGCAGCCCCTCGCTGCGTGGAGTGCAGCGTGGTGTCGGTGTGCTTTTCCACCCACCCCGAGTTTCGTTTGATCCTCGCCTCCTGCCGGGCAGCACGGAAGGCAGCAGGGCTCTCAGTGAACCCCCGATCGCACAGCGGTAGTGCGGCTCGCTCGTCCAAAATCACACTGCTATCAAAGCCCCAACTCACTTTACTTTGAAATAGATGAAAGGAAAGGACAGCGGTGGGTATTTTGGGTCCTTTCCCACCGGACTCTTCAGAGACTGTGTCCATCGTCTCCCTCACGTGTCTAGGAGCAGCTGGAAGGTGATGGCCAGCGAGTGGCTCCCCGCCCCGCACCACCCCCAAGGCTGGGAACGTGACATGTGACGGAGAGGCGGGCCGGGTGTGCTCAGCAGTAGGACATGGTCCTGGCGTGTGTGGGGCCCTGTGTTCCATCCTCAGCTCTGAAATGTAAACACTAATGGAGGTGGCCCTTCAGGGCCAAGGTCGCTGAAGGAGACTGTTCACTTCTGGGACAGCCGGCAACCTTGCTGCAGATGTGGGTCATCCCTCTGGACTTCAGCATAAAGCTGGGTCCCTGTCCGTGTGGGGCGTGTTCTCCAACATCACCAGCTGCACCTTCAGAGCCACCCAGAAGCCCCTCTCAGGAAGGAACCCCGCTATAAATTCACTCCTTCCTTGCCGGATCCTCTCTAATGTAAGCATGCGATGGTATAGTTGATTTCCTTTTCTCCTGGGAGCAGGGTAAGGCTCTTACACCTTTAAAAGCTTCTTCAAAGGTCTGATGACAGGGTAAGAAGACCAGCCCTAGTGCTGAAGCAAACCCAAGAGGCACAGTCCCCAGCAGCAGCACAGTTTCAAAGCCGATCCTCCTCCTAGAACAATCCCAAGCCCCTGCTGAGGACACTTCCAGAGAAGGGGCAGTGAGTTTCCTCTCCCCCTGCTACAGTCAGATTTTCAGGCGGGCAGAGGAGTTCAGACTCAGAAACACCACGCAGAGCCCCCAAAGGCGGAGCAGGGTCATTCTCTCGTTTGGGGCTGACCTGAAGCAGGACACGATCTCCTATCCAGCTTCCCTGCTTTACAGGGTGGTCTGAGTGGCAAGGGAAGTTATGGGCTCCAGTGTTGCAGAAATTGGTATCCTCAAAGTGCAGGAAGTTTGACATATGAAAAATCTAACACAATCTATATCAGCAACACGACATACCGAGCTTCGATGCGCCAGGTCTCTTAAACACTAACAGGTTACATCACGTAAACTTCAGGACAACCCCAGGAGCTGGCACTGTCCTCCTCACCGTAGAAGTGGAGCGATCAGAAATGCCAGGTCAGTTACTCAGGATCCCACTGAGAGTAAGCAACAGAGCCCAGGATCAGCCAAAGAAGACTCACTGTAAAGCTGTTTCTTCCACACCTTGCAGTTCACAAAGCTGTTAGCCCTGGAGCAACTCTCACGCTGGCACCCCTTTGAGAGAGGCCCCCCGTGGCAGAGAGAGGATGTGCCCAAGATGTGTGGCATCAAGGAGCCTGGAAGCTGGTGTTGAGGGCTCAGTAGGCGGCCCCTCTTGGAGTTGTCTGCTCCTCCATTGTTACCCTTTGAGCAGCATAAGCTTCCACTTTCACCTGACAGCACTGAATTCCAAAACTGCTCAGCACAGGCAAATCCAAAGAGCCAGCGACTTCCGTGCAACCATAGCAAAAACACCGCCAAAGCCCTCCCTGGCCCCTTTTAGAAGAGACACAGACCTACTGAAATTTAAGCTAAGGTGTGCAGCCAAGTGAGTGTATAGGTGCATCAATGCCTACCCGTCCCACAGGGCAGGAGACACCCAGGCGGAGAAAGTACCTTGTGTGTCCGTTTCTTGAAGTGGAGAAAGCATTTCACCATAGAAATGATGTTATGAGAACTCATTCCTCAGGCTACTCCTCAACCCCCATTTAAACCGTAATGGCTCAGCAGGCTTCTTCTGATTTGGACTCAGGAAAATGAAACATCTTAGCTTACGTGAGTACTTGGAACTTCAGGGTCCAATATACTGCCTCCAATGGGGAGCAAAGTGGGGTGGGGCAGATCTCAAGTAGTCACAGAATGGTCCTTAGAGAGTCTCCAAAATCATGAGGACCTCAAATTACCCCCCAAGTAGGTTCCTTGCCATTTATCACAGAAAAGCATTTCAGGATGCATCAGTGAGAGGCACAGGCAGATTTATCAGGCAGAGTGAGGATGGAAGGGAAAGACTTCGGCATGAGGAGCCAAAGGGGGCACAGCTGTGAAAGAGAGGATTGGAGAGGCTCCTGTTTTAGGGAGGTTCTGCTGGGATCCAACAGGACTGCAGACTTAGCTCACCCCTGGGGATTTGCAGGCGCCCCCTAGTGGTATTGAATGTCCCTGTAAATCTCTTGGTGTCCTCTGCCTTGAAGGGAGGCGAGATAGTGTATGCACATTTGGGTCAGTCGGCCTCGTATTTGCTACTTGTAGGCAGGCACTCCCTAAGGGACGGCCAGGCTTAGACGCAGAGCTGAGTAAGGTTCTGACCCAGAGTTCTGAGGCACTAAAGGAGACAGAGGCAAAATAAGGCCAGGCTTTATTCTGCTTTTAGTTATCTATTTATTAGACATCTGTATACCCAAAGCTAAAAATCACTGATTTTTAGCAAAAATCACTTTTAAATCTCTCACTAGCTCAGAAGAAAACATAAATCGTGCTTTGGATAAGTAATAGGTCAAGGGCCCAGGGGTCTGTGGTCGTCTGTCCCTGAGCGGTCTGTCTATCAGAGCGACACTCTGAATGCACTTTGGTGGGCGGGGGGAGACAGAAAAGGCCTTTGAGAAGATGTGCAGGAACGGGGCACGGTCAGCCAGAGGCTTCTCCCACGGGACACCCTGGTGAGCGACATCCCAGCCACCCCCCCATCTGGCCCTGGGGCACCAAAAAGGACCCCCCCAAGCCGGTGTTCCCATGGGCTCCCAATCTCTTCCCAGACTTCCCGCAGAAAGGAGTCAGGCAGCTCCTGCTGTCCACAAAGATGGAAACAGGCAGGTAAAAGGCTCTTTGTAACTCCCCTTCTCTCTTCTCCCTCCGCCTTCAGCAGCATGTCAACCCTGTGGGCCTAGGTAAGGGTGTTGCTAGGACACTCAGGAGCCAGGGGTCACCCCTACAACACCGCACAAGGCTGCTGAATCCTGGAATTGCACCTTGGAGCGGTGGGGGGGGGACAACACCACTCTTTAGATACAGAGGAGGTGAAAGGTGACTGACGACTTGTGTACCAGGGCTGAGGACGGGGCAGGGGGCGGCACAGCGGGAAGAAGAGGCAGGACTGCTGGGGAGTCTCCTCTCAGGACTTGGCCCATTTTTTGCTTGCCTGCAAACACCCCGGCCAAAACCACTCTCCCCTAACCCTAGGGTTAAATGACAATGTAGCATTCCAGGTAGAGGAAACATTTCTGAAGGCCAGGTGTTGACACCAGAAACACAAATAAATTAAAATATAGAAATGTATAAGCATAATTAGTAAATGTACTTACTAGTAATTTTATTATTCATTTATTTGTGTTTATTTTAAGACAGGGTCTCACTAAGTTACCCAGGTGGTCGCGAACCCACAATCAAGCAGCCAGCTGACAGATTACAGGCTGCTCCACTGCATTCAGCCATGACAGCTCCATTATACACTGCTTGTCACTGTTACAGTCAACACTGACAGTCTCGATCTTGAATGATATATATAGATATATATATATATATCTATATATATCTGTATAATATGTATTAAATCCACTTTTAGGAAATATAAATGTACTTACAACAATATTTGCAGAAGACACAATACTTGTTAATACACCACATTCTGTGTTTCTCCCCATTTTTCACAGCACAGACTGGTCTACAAGTGGTTTCTCCTAATCTACAAACTCAGCTACACACTTGGTGTTGTGGGGTATTTGGCCATCATGTTTACAATGTGTAGATTTCCAACTAAGACTTTGCTTGGAAATTGACCTGGCTGTGTTCTCGCTCTAGAAGCATTTAACCCTACTATGTTCCACGCACATGATTCTTATAGTATATATCTACCAAAGTCTTATTGTTACAGAAAAACCAGTCTTATTGGGGGGGACAAGAAAAGGGCACCCTTCAAGAGAAAATATTTTAAAAATTAGGAGCCTTAAGAACTATGAAATAACATTTTAAGAGTCTCATGCTCTACCGACTGAGCTAGCCGGGCAGTTTAAAATAACATTTTAAAAAATTTGAGCATTAAAGTACTCTTGTAAAGAGATCTACCCTTGGGGTGTGAATTTAAAATACCACCATTGAAAGCTGTCCTCCCACAGTGGTAGAGTTCATAACTGTTACTGAGCTGTACATTTCCTTCCCATGAAATCCTGGTGTCTCCCTTCTATGACCTCTTTCTCAAACCTTTAGAACTTTGCTGACCAACGCAGAAACCACGAGCTCATATGGCAACTGAGAACTTAAAATATGAAATAAGATGCACCACAACTGTAAAGACACGTTGGATTTCAAAGACAATATGAAAAAATGATTTTATATTGGAAATGGCATGTGGAAATGAAACTATTTTGAATGTATTAATGGGATTCATTTCACCTGTTTCTTTGTATGTTTTTTAATGTGGACACTAGGAGATTTTAAGTTACAGTCATGTGTCACTTAATGACAGGATACAGTCTGAGAAACACATTGTTAGACAGTTTTATCCTTGCGCCACCCTCACAGACTCTACTGACCCAAAGGTGGCTATGCTGTCCCTAGGTGACATGACCCTAGAAGGCCACCATCATATATACACATCACTATGCGGTGCACAGCTGTGCACTCATGACTGCCTTCCCACTGCACAGCACTGCTCTCTCATGGAAACGCACCAGGAGTTAGCTGCTTGTATCCACGAAATGGCTTTTGTTTGGAATAGTTGGAAAAGGAGGAAGCTAGGTGCTTAGACATTGAAAGAGAAGTAGAGATAACAGAACAAGACAGTCTTGTGAGAAATACAGCAAACAGGCAGGTGCTCACATCTGTGACTCAGAACTGTGCCCCTCTTAGGCAGGTGGCTGCTGAGTTGCACTGGGTTGAGATTCTCCCAGGCAGGGCCGAGGCCGTGGACCAGACCTGTGCTCTGGGAAGGGGATGACGGCACAGCTCTGGGAAGCAGCTGCAACAAAAATCTCCTAGAACACTTTTCACACTAGTTATTCCAAATCCCTGGGGCCATAACTGGCAAAGCAGAGACTGGCAACTTTTGACTCCTAAGGACAGTAATTGGATGGAGAACCAGTCCTCCACTGCTGAGAGCTTATCCTACAGCAATACAGCGATCTGATTTTATAAGCATTCAGAGGAATTTCCAGAGAGAGAAGGATCCTAACATTTCTAGCAGAGACAGTAATTGTAAACACCTCTTATTGCCAATTTAAGAGGTAGAAAGACACTGCTCATTTCTTTAGCATGCTCTAAAACGTCTTGATCGTCTCTCTTTTCATTAGTATACACCTGTGGTACACGATAAATATATGCCGTGTGGGGAATTGGTACATGTGCATATCTCATCGAGATCCTTTGTACTTCCTCTTCCCCATGAACCTTGGAGACTACAGTTGACCTATTCATAAATACCTATCGTTATATTTAATGTATACATTTGCCACAGTGAGAGGTTAATAAAAACTGATATAAACTTGAACAGTTATGCCAATATACTGTCATAAAAGTTTGTGTTTGAGGCCATTTCAAAGTGAAATAAAGGTAAAATGAACATAGCATATTTAAGACCCAGTACTGTCCAAGGTTTCATGCCTCCACAGGAGGTTTTGGAATATATTATCGCTCAAGAATTCCTCTGTCCACTAGCACTGAGTGGTATAATTTGAGGGAAATGTACAGGATTTCAAATTCTTTTGTATAAAAAAAACTAAACAAAAAAAATGCATATCCACAAGACTCTGTTAGATAGACTGGCAGGAAATATTTCCCAAGCTCCAGCCTCCTCCACCTCACCCCCAAATGCCATCCTCTCATTTCCCTATACCGTTGCTTTTAACAGAATCAAAGCTAGAGATTCCATGGATTTCGCCATTGTGTCCTTGTCCTACAGCCTCTGCTGCAGCGTTGTGGGAGAGACTGCCGAGATCTGCTCGGATTACATGGCCTCTACTGTAGGGGCAGGTGGTGTTCTCACTGTCCTCAACCATTTACGACGCTAGGAAAAACTGTTTCATATTTACATCATCATACATTTGCATCACTTCCTTTGGCACTATTTTGGTTCTCCCAGGCCCATTGCTCTCTCGCTTACGCTCACATCAAAAAAAATACGGTTAACTAATTAGAAAACACATTTTTCATATAGAACAAGGCGACTTATAAAACAAATATGCTAATTATTTGGGTCATCATATCAAGCTTACTCTAGCTGCCAGCACTTGAAGGATTAACAAAAGGTCAAGTGTAACAAAAATCCTTTATCTTTGCCTGAAGCTCTGCCTAAAGCAAATAAAAATCATATTTGAGGGGTGTGGAGTGGAGCTCAGTGGTAGATCACTTGCCTAGCAAGTGTGAGCCCCTGGGTCTGATCAACAACACACACGCACGCACACATTCACACAAATCATGCTTGATGCTGCATAAAACATTCCGGAATCAACACATCCCGGGATAATACTTATTATAAAGATGAACTGTCATCCCAGAACATCTGAAGAAGTACAAGATCTGAAGGAGGGTACCACAAGTATTCTGAGTATACATCAGTGCCTGGAGGTTTTGTTTGTTTTAAATTCCAGGTAGTTATGGCTTCCTTTTTTCTTCAACACTCTTAAAATTAAAATGTGGAATGGACGTACCTTCTGTTTCAATGGATTTCAGAGTCAGAAAGTAAAAATATTCATCAGTGTCTGGCACGCGTGTGCTCTAAAATTTACAAACCTAGAGCTCCAGGTTTCAAGGATTTTGCTTCCTGTCCTCGGAACGTCTGTGGGCAATCAGACAGGAGCGGAAAACATTGTACACGTGTAAGAGCACCATAAGTCTCTGAACTGTTGTTTATCTACTGGCGGAGCAGGACCTAAGCAGACGCACTTTGACCTCATCCTCCCCCCATCATCCTTCCCCTCGACCAGAAGTCTCTCTTGGCCTCTCCTAGGGCGCACAGCCCAGCTTCTGTGGTGCGATTCAGAGACATACCTTTCGGAATTCTTCAGCTGGGGTTCATCTGTGAGACAATGCCTTACTCCTGCAGTTCAGGGTTCAAGGTTCCAGGTGAGCACCAGAGGAGTATTTCAGTCTCTGTCCCAACAAAAACCAGAAGTCATGCCCTGAGAAAATTCCCAAAACCTCCGTGTCCGTGCATAGGAGAGGACGAAAAGTGTTGTATTATTCTGTTCTCTGGTGGACCAGAAGATGTCACCTGGTAAGATAACCAAGTCTTTTAAGCACCAGACTCCTGGGGACTTCTCACCTGACCCCAACCTGGAGGACCTCAACATTTTTGTCATCATTTGTGATCTTCCAGCTACCAAACCTATGAAAACCACCGTTTCCAACCATTCGCATGACCACCAGTGACTCAGACTAATGATGCGCGCACGTGTGTGTGCGCATGTGCACTTGTGACCGAGGTAAGGGGGAGGCAGAGGAAAGCCGACCTCCAACTCCACACCAGTACCCGAGCCTCACACAGGTCATTAAGCAGAGTCCCTGGGAGTAGAGCCAACGCATCTGCTTTACTTTAAAAAAAAAAAAAAAAAAAAAAAAAAAAAAAACTTCTTAGAAAGAGGAATGTGCTCTTAAGCCATCCAAAAGCATGGATGAATCTTAAATGCATACGTATTGCTGAGTAAAAAGAGCCAGGCCAAAAGACTACAAACTATATGACTCTATTTGTGACATTTTGGAAAAAGCACAACTATACAGAACGCTGAACAGATTAGCAGTTGCTAGGGGTTTAAGAGAAGGAATAGAATTGAGTAGGTGAAGAATAGGGGTTTGTTTTTTTGCAGTACTGAGATTTTTATGTCTGATTCTTGAATAATAAATAACAGGCCACTATGCATTTTTCAAAATCCACAAAACTATGTGGCAGAAGGGTTGAACCTGCTCGTGTGAAAATTGTTTAAGTTATTAAAGAGGTTGGAGAATCCCAGGATAGAAAGCAGACTGTGACAGGAGAATCAAACTGCATTACAGATGTGTGAAATAACCTCCCTGAAGGTGTGGGGGGCAGGAATGTGTTATCCTAAGAGACACAAACGCATGGAGATTATAAGGCCAAAAGCAGAAGGAAGCACTACACTGTGCTGCGCTCTACTCAGTAAAGACATTGCCCCAGGGCGAGGGATTAGCAGTTCTGATGCTAGTACCTGTGTGTGCTGGGAGAGAATCTCTAAGTAAATGAATAGCAGACAGTGGGAGCTGGGCTTCTTATTGTCAGGACTAGAGAGATTACAGACAAGGAAGGAGCAAAGACTGGACAACTTACACAGGACGGGTCCAAATTAGAGCCATCAGTGTAAACGCGTGTTGAGCTTAACACAGGTGCAGATGAACAGATACAGAAAAGTTACCAGGTGTGTGTGTCTGCACAGCTCTGTGGATAAAGATATGTTCCTTTGCTCTCTCACCTAAGAGGTCCTACAAGCAATGACACCCCAGAACCATATCCCATGCCTCTATCCCAGCTGATTATAGATTCTGAACAAGGAATATACAAAGCACAATAAAAAAATACAGTGGATGTTTAACTTTTTTAAAAGTTTGTTACACTGAAAAACACAATGACATGAATCCCCTCACTTTGAACACACGTATTCCATCTTTTTTCTCACTTTCTAGAGCAGTTCCGCAAGTCCTCTTTTGTGGTGACTTTAATTGTGCTAGTGTGGTTGTCTCGATACCGCACCTTGAGTCGATTAAAAATGTTTCCCTTTCACGGTCATTTTGACTTTGGGGAAGAGCCAGAAGTCGCACTTTGCCAGATTTGGTGAATAAGGTGGACAAGGACACAGCGTAATATTCTTGTGAACCTGCCTTTCCTTCGGATGACACCTGGCAGCAGCTTTCACTCAAAAGACACTGAGAAAGAAGACTTGCAGAACGGCTGCGGGAAGTGGCAAGAACCTGGGATTAGTGTGTATGAAGGGAGGGAGAGGTTTTGAGGAGGATGAAGGCAGTGTGCCTTTTACTGTGATAAATGTTTTAATTTAATCTTTCATAATACGTTTCAATCCCCTCTTAAACAAGACCCTGGAGCATTCTGTAGTGCCAAGAAGAAGGAAACTGTGATTGTTCATCTTGAGTGCCAACTTGATCAGACTGAGAAATGCCTGGGACATGAGTAAGGCACATTTCTACATGTGTCTGTGAGGGTGTTTCCAGAGGTGGTTGGCACGTGGGACTGCAAAGTGAGCGGGGACCTGCCCTGAACATGGCCAGAAGCCCAGACAGAACAACAGCAGAAGAAGCAGGTGCACATTCTGTGTGTCCCCTCTTCCTCCTTCCTTTCTGGCCACCGTAAGCTGGGCAGCCTTGTCCTGTCACCTGCCACTGCCACCATGTTGTCCTGCCTCACCACAGGGCCGTAACAGCGAAGCCAGCCAACCACAGACTGATACCTCTGAAACCAGGAGACAAAAATAAAGCTTTCTCGCTTTAAACTGACTTCATCTGGCATTTTGTGACAGCAATGGAAAGCTAAGAAACACAGAAATGCTAAAAATAAAACAAAACCAAAATCCTACAATGATAAGACTATGTGCAAACGATACAAGAGCCAACTGAAAGAGCTCCTAATAGCCAAAGTTGAAATTTGAATAGTAAAATAATAACCATGAGTCCACATTGGTATAAAGAGATGACTAAATAAATAGATGGAAAATAGATAAATCCATGCCTTAGAGTTCCACATAGTTGATGAAGATTTTCTGCCCTTAAGGAGGGTGTGGTGGTTACATTTTACTTGTCCATTTACCAGGTGTTTAGTACACACTAAACCAGATGCTGCCGTGAAGGTATTTCATGGATGTGACTAACATCTGTCACCAGTCGACTTAAGGTGAGGCGGATCACCCTTGATGGTGTGGACAGATCATAACCACAGGCCTGAAAAGCAGAAACAGACTTTCCAGGGGAGAAGAAATTCTGCTGGGGATGGCACTGTCAGAAGGAAGGAGGAAGGGGAGGAGGTGGCAGCAAGGGGAGGGAGAGAAAGAGAGGATGTGGTGCTGGCCTTCCCTGAAGGGTTCTGCTTCACCAGCCTCCACACACGTGTGGGGCAATTCCTTAAAATAAATCTGATGGTAAGGACAGAGGAAACAGACTTGGAACACTGGGGTATTCTCTGTGCTATCGTCATATATTGTCTTTAAAATTATTATAAAGTGAGTATTTTATTTTTAAAAGCTTGCTAGCCACTGCGGGGTGCCCCCAGTGCGGAGAACCTCCCCTCACCACCACCCGCAAGACTCCGGGCTCCCTCGTTAGGTCCCTAAATGCATCGCCTTCTTGGAGTGATTCCTTTGTGTGCAAGCAATAAGAACACGGGAATTATTAAAGCTAGGTACATGCCTGGGTGCTCCAGCTCTCTGACTCGGAATCTCCAGAATAAGGAGAGGGGGCCAGTCGATGGAGGGGCAGGAGCTTCCAGCGTGAGGCTGAGCTGCGGCTCTTGGTAGAAGAGGACCTGTGACCGGAGCGTGTAACGACGTAAGGACGGCGCATGCGCGGCTGGCGGTCCGCCCGCGCTCTGTCTTTCCCACAGCTCTGCAGCGTCAGGGGGGCGCCCGCCAGGAGCTTGTCAGACGATATCTGCGTCATCTGTGGGCAGAAGTTCATCGTGGAGCTCAACGAGGAAGGACTCATGGAGAACACCTACCAGCTTTCCTGCAGCCACCTGTGTCCTTCCTTCAGCCTCCCTCAGGCTCCGCCTTCCCCTCGCCTCCTGCTGACCCTGCCTCGTGGGTCTTGCTCAGCTCCAGCCCCAAACCCTACACCTTTATCCACCTTATTCTTGAGGCTTTCTGACAAGCCCAGCTGAATAACATATTGCTAATGAGGATGAACCTTCCCTTACATTTTCTTTGTATCCTGGACTCTAATGCCAAGGAGATCAAAGGCTTCGGGTCTGCGCAGAGGGAAGCTGATGGAAGCCTCAGAGGAGCACAGAACCAAGAAAGACAGGAGAGAAGGGTTGTGGGAGAGAAACTTAGGGAAACGTAGGGGCTGCTGCACACCTCAAATCGGGGAGCACAGGGGCAGGTGGAGCCTGGAGTCCGAATCTTCTTGGGCCAAAAAGCAGAACGTGTGATTTTATCCTGGGGACTCACTTGTGGCCACTGTAGTCACAGGAGGAACTGGTGGGGAAAATCAATCCCCCTTGTCGACTTTCTGGATTAGGCCCTTTTAAAAAAGGAGAGATCCAAATGTGACGTTTGTTCTTGGGCTGTTGGCTCCTTGCCTCTTGGTTCTCGGTTGGAGGATCTTGAGGAGCCAGATAGCAAATAAACCCTGCACCCCAAAACCAGCACAGCCTGGCAACTCCAGGAAGCCTTGAGAAAAGCTTCAGAGTGCAGAAAAAAAGCTGGCATCGAGACGTCTGACCAAAGCACCCAGTGCTGCCCAAGCGTGCAATTGCAGATACTGCTGTGGTGTTTGGCTGATGATCCACATTTTAATTTGTTCCCCACTACAAAAAGGGGACGTTGTTCATCTTTATTTTATAATGCACCATCAATTGTGTAACATTATCTCTAAATACCTGGTCAGATCAAAGCTCTGGCATGAGATGGTTGAACCAGCTGGCTTTTCTCACCAAAGCCCATCTAATGCAGTCAGTAATACCCAGGGCCTTCAGTGTGCAGTGCCTCTATCCAGATTTGTTTAATGTGCCTCTAACAATTGTTTAATCTGGACAGTTTCCACAATCCCAAAAGTCAAAAACTGGTCTGAATGCATCTCAGATGTAATAGGAGCCTTTGCTCCAGCATTTAAGACTTAATATTTCAAGGGAAGAAATACAAAGATACCCCATACGGAATTCTACAGCAGTTTTTCAGTATACATTTCCCAAAAAACTATCAGTCTTAGTAGAAATTTTCCAAGTCTGGCCCTCGTCTTAAGTATGATTTACTTTCAAACGTTGGAATAGAGCCCCTTCTGTGATTTGCCAGTGAAAATATTTTCTCTCTCCACCTTTAAAAGCCCTTAGGGATTGTTGTACATGTGTGCACATGTAATCAAAAGTGTAGTCATCTTTGAGTTTGCTTTGCAGGGATCATTATTAATGTTCCCTTTGAGCATGAGTCATATTAACAAGAAGTGGGTAGACTGGGCCATCTTAACAAGGCAGATCGGCCAGGGTGTGCTTTCCACATGGAGGTTTTGAAGATGAAAGGGGTTGCAGAAATTCCAGGCTCTACGGCTCTATGACCCCTGGACTCTCTACCTATCTGGAAGGTAAGGTTGTACCCCAGCCCTTTGAATGAAAGGTTGTACGGGTTTGGGCTCAAATCTTTGTTGTACAATGCCTTTTTGTGTTAATCCAAACACATTGTAAAAATGCCCCCAATTCCAACAGCATAAAATAGTGGAAACTCTCAGTTTCGTAAAGAGCCGGTGTTGAGAAGCATAGATCAGCTTTTGCCTGGGCTACACCTCTGCTCTCCTGTTCCTTAGGGAGGAAACCTCTTCCCCATCAGTGCTGTTGACACGAATGTGGGACAAATGGGTCAGAAGTTCAAGTGCTCTCAGCCAAGAAAGCCACCCTGAGAGCAGTGACATAGAAATAGACCAACAGGAAGGATCTTGTTCTAGTGAATCATTTTGTCCAAATCTGCAATATGGGGGAGTCTAGAAATATTTATTTCCAAATATGAGTGACTTGAAATGATTCATTTCCTTTTTCATTCCTTCATTCTTCATTCATTCAGTCATTCCATAAATATTCCCTGGGCATCTGTTCAAGGTACTGAGGACACAGGTGAATGCAGCATGGTCCCACCCACACCATGTGACTTAAGAGAGACAGTAAGGGTGCAGAACATCTGATGCATGGGGATAAGCATTAGAATAGGGGTTTATCTCAGCTTGGGGAACAAAAGGCTGAACTTTTCTGGAAAAGGTGATGAAATCTTAATACCTAGAGTTTGAGAGGCTAAGTTGAGGGAGGTTAAATTCTATTAAAGATAATTTTCTCTTTATTGGTAATTTTTTAAAATCCAAGAAAAGCTTAAGAAATTAATAGGTGTACTTGTAAATTTAGGGGTGGGGATATAGCTCAGTGATGATGCTAGGTATGCCTGAGGCTAAGGTTCCATTCCCAGCACACACACACACACACACACACACACACACACGCACGCACACACGCACGCGCACACACACACAAAGAGGGGAAAGAAAAGAACAATCTGTAAGCTTGACCATAAATGATTTAAACTCATCTAAGTCCCTAAGCCAAGGCTGATGACGTAGAAAGTTAACAAGTAAGGCACAGAAGTGGGATTGTGAGACACTACAGTGACTCCCTCAGAAATGCACAGAAAAGGGTTTGGGACTGTGCTGTGCTGATGTGTTCGCCTGAGACGCAACTGCACTAAAGCACCTCACACTCTTCACCTGACTTCTGGAATCAAGTGAGGCCAGGATTCATCAGGCTAAAAAGCTAGACAACAAATTCCTCGGGGTCAGAACGCTAATGCAGTTGCCAGGGGTAGTAGCAGCGCTCACTTGTAATCCCAGAACTTCGAGAGACTGAGGCAAGAGTATCACAAATTCAAGCCCCACCTGGGAAATTTAGACACTTAGCAAGACCCTGTCTCAAAATAAAAAGTGTGAAAAAGGACTGTGCTGTAGCTCAACGTGAGGACCCTGGGTTTAGTCCCAAGTGCCAAAAAAATAAATAAATAAAAGAAGGAAGGAAAAGGGAGTGAGGGAAGAAGGGAGGGTGGGAGGAAGGAAGGAAATGTAACACGCGCTCCATGCTCACCGCCTTGGTCCTACAGAATCACCCTGAACAAATGATGTACAAATGAAGCCAGGACTGATTGCCCCTACTAGACTCCAAAGGCAGGGTGGTTTCCTTGTCACCATGAAGCAGACATGCCCTTGATTATCTAAAAGCTTCCCTATCAAGATGCTTCAGCTTTCATGAATTCTGCGTCCGAGGTTGGTGCATCGTTGGTAAAAAGCAGACTTGACCTTACTGCAAAGAGAAGGTCGATCTGAAGAGGATGATCAGTAACCCATATCCTTTTAATGAAAGTTGCAAAATACGATCATCAGCGTCTCTAGGGACACACGCTTCGGTCTGCATCTTCATTATCGATACATAGTTACAGCAGAAAACTTCTGTTCTTTCTAAAATTTATTTCACAATGCTAAAATTCTCTCTTCCCACCTGTGCCTATTCTGCTTAGGAAGTTAAGGGCCAAAAATCATTCCACTAGTCACGTTTCATATACTCCATGTTAAGGGGTCTGGTGGCAACATGATGAGAGCCTGCAAAAACAGGTGAAGCCTATGGAAAAATAATCACAACAGATGGATGAATGTGTGGACGGATAAACAGCTGGCTGGGTGGGTGCATGGAATGGTGATTAGATCAGTAGATAAATTGGAATTGAAAATGTAAAAGTCCCAAATGTGAACTAGAGTGCAGAGAAATATTTTAGGGTGCACCAAATTTTATTACTCTCAGAAATGAATAGGTCCCTCCTTCTCCCTCTCTCCTAAGGCTAAACCCTAATGATAATAATCCTGGGAGGGAAGAAAGACACACAGACTCCACCTGCTTGTGCCAGCAACTGGATTTTCATAAACACCAGAGATGCCCAAGTGAATAAACCCAAGGCTCACATAGATCACAGGAAGGGGACAGCCCCATGTAGACCCACCTCGAAAGGCTCAATCCCCTACCTCACTGTCCCAAGGCCATGGCACCTCTTCCAGGAGGGAGAGGGGATAAAACAGCCCCTGAAATGTCGGAATCCACCTGCCATGTGCTCTTTCCCCTCACTCTGTTGGAGAGTTGGTCCTACTGAGGAAGCACTCAAGGTCGAAGGTGAGAGATGAACCTTCCTCCCTGCCTCCCAGCCACTTCCTTCCCACCCCTGAGACCTCCTTCTAGTAAGAGGAGCCCAGTCCAGGGAGCTTGGGGCTAATAACTTATAAAACCCCAATGCAAACCCCTTTGTTATAAAAATTAGTGATGATACGCTCATAAATGTCACCTTAAATGATGGTTTAGATAACAGCAAAGAAGATTCTTATTAAGGGTGACTTTCTGGAAACAATAAGCTACTGAATAGTACATGTATCCTTTTTATTGAGACTCAGTATAAGGGAAAGTTATATATGAAAAAGCCGCTCTTTGGGGTAAAATTGCCATGAGAGATGCTAGTATTAATTAACTTCCCTTAGCAAAATTTATCAAAGACGCCAGAAAAAGGTATGTGTCATCTATGAGCTAGTGTTGCCCTTCCTAATGTCCACTGAGCTGACCATAGAAAAGCCCAGAGCAAAGTTTTTGCTCATTTACAGTAGCTTCTTGGACTAGTGATTTAGCTCAATGGCACTGTACCTGCCTCACAAGTGCAAGGTTCTGAGTTTGATCCCTGCTACCAAAAAAGAAAAAAAAAAAAGTATAGTAGCTTGTGTTATCCTTGGTCTTCCAGTAGAGTCATTCCTCTCTTGTTGTTATCTTTTAGCATATATTTTTGTCTCTATCTTCATTTCATAGGTTGGGATTTCACTGTAAACAATTTCTTTCTTTTCTTTTTTATTTTTTTTTGGAAATTCTGTGGGGGCAATTAACAATGATAGCTACGTTGTTATAAAAATCATGTCAAGGGTGCCTTTTTTCTTTTTCAAAAAAAGAACCATAGATACAAGTTCTTGCTAAAATGTTGTCCAGTCTGGCCCCCATGGTCTTAGACTCAAGTGATCTTCCTGCCTCATCCTCCAGAGTAGCTGGAATGATCACCTCTATTGCCATGCTAGGCGTGCAAAGAGCTTTTAATTGAGCACATAGAATCAACAAGAAAGGACATATCTGTCCTTTACATTGCTTATAATATTTGCACTTCATAACTGTGATTATTTCTGCTACTTGGCTGCACATGGAGTGACCTCCTTAACTGGGATTTAGCTGGTGGCACACATGTTTCGTATAGGGAAATCCTGGATTGGCTTCATTACCTGCTGGCCTGGCAACCTGTGGTAATAGGAACAGTTCAAGACAGTAACTATTCACTGAGTTAGAATAGTGCCGCCAAATTACCCCAGAAGCAATGTATCACATCGCTAAAATGTGTTTAAATCCTTTGTCTCACCTTTAATATTGATCTTGTTTTTTTTTAGAAATGACCTCAATAGTCCAGAAAACTTAATAAAAGTTTGGATCGTACTCCAAACAACTTCTCTCTGTGGAAAGAATTTAAAGAGAAGCTGAACAATGGAATAAACAAATAAAATATACCTTTCCCTCTTTCCCATTACAATATTCTAACTCACACATGGACCCATTTGTTACACAGTGGCTTTAGACCACTGGTTTGGCTGATAGTGAAGTATTTCTGGGGTCTTTAAAGCACTTCTCACATATAGCATGTAGTTATAATTAATGCCTTCCAATCACTTGCACATCTTCCAAGAAGTAGGTAGAGTAGTTAAGTATAACCATATAGCTCAGGATGGACAGCAGAAAGAAGCAGGGAGCAAGGAATGTGTCTCCACCAGCACTGTGGTTTGAGAGCACTGTCTTCTTTACTCTCCATTCTTGTCACCACCGGGCAGTCCTGAAACCACAAACTACTTAGGGTGGTTAGCACCATGAATTGATTCCAGCTTCACACACTTTAGATGCAGCCACCTCTGAAAAAGCCCCACCTATTATTGTATGAGGCTTTGGGGGGATATCAAGACACAGCCATAACATTGTGCTGCTGGGTCCCCGAAAGACGCATGCATATCCCTTCATGCAAAAGGTATGTAGTTCATTTCCAAGAGTTACCAAAGTCCTACCAGTCCCAGCATTGCTGACAAGTCAAAGTCCAAAGTCACCTCTGAGATTTAAGGCAAACTCTTAGCTGTGAGACTCTGTACAAATGAAAAGAAAATTAAACACTTCCAATATTCAATGGCACAAGGTAGACACTGCTCTTCCAAAAGGTACAACAGAAACGCCAAGGAATGGGGCCAAAGCAAGTCCAAAATCCAGCAGGGCTAACCCACAGTTCCACTTCCATTAAGTCCCATGGTTCCACTTCTAGCATCCGTGGCCATCTGTGGCAAGTTACGAACTCTGAAGGGCTTAGGTGGCTCTGCCCCTTCAGCACTGCCAGTGGTTGAAGCTCCCATGGCTTCTGTCTGGGGTCAGCTCTGTTCCCTCCTTGCAGTTTTCCTCAGATGATCCAGGTTCCTGGCCTCTCCAAACTCCTGGAGCCTCCACTGCACCTTCGGCTTCACACACTGCCCTCTCAGGGGCGCCCTGCCTGACCTCCCAGCCCATCTTCTGAGATCTGGGTGGAAGCCTTCCTGACCCAACAACTCTCACATACTGCATGCACCTAAAACCAGCACCACATGGGTGATGCCAAGGTCTGCTGCCAGCCGCCAGGCTTCCTTCTCTCTTGGCCCTAGGGGTCCAGTACCTATGAGCCAAATTCCCTCAGCCGCTGCCATTCTGGAACATGGCACTCTGGGGCCCTCCCAAAGCAAAGACTTTCACTTTTGCAATTTTGAGGCTGCCAAGGGTGGAGTCCTGCTGCTTCCTGTGATGCCCTCAGGCCACCTCTTCTATTCTATTCCTTCTCAGCAATCAAGATCTCCTCTTCTCTCTCTTTGCAGGCTGAAACTTTACTGGAGCTTTCTTTCTAGCCAAACTCAAAATGTTTTAAATCATTCTGCTGGGCTCTTTCCTCTTGATTCTCAACATAAATCTGGCTAAATGCCCCCAAAAGTAGCCCTTTCACTTCTCCAACATGAGGCTCTATTGAATTTCTTCTGCAAGATTAGTCTGCTACTCTTAATATCAGTTTCAGGTATAGTGTCAGGACACCAGAAAAATGCAGACAAACTTTCTGCTAAGGTATAATCCACATCATCTGGAGTCCAACTGCCAATGCAGTCCTTCTTCCCAGCAGAACACTTGACCCAGATCTACTGGTATCATTTCTATCAGCATTCTGGTCTTCTGATCTCTGACAAGAATCTCCCATTAAGCACAGCCTCGGCCATTCCAGCTCTACTTTTTCAGCCAGCCTTTCAAAACCTTTCCTAACTCTTCCCCTTCCCACAAGACAACTCCAAAAGCCCAAAAACCACATGGTCAGGTATGGTCACAGCAATAACCCCACTTCTGGTATTAAAATATGTATCAGTCAGTGTTTACTAGAGAAACAGATATAACACAAATTATACAAGTATATATGAGAATTTACAAGATTGGTTTACAATGGCCGCCCACAGAGCTGGGTATGAAAGAATGAAGAGGGTCTGTCTGCATGAAGGATCTGAAGGGTCCAGTTAAGGGTCTGGAGCTCACTGCAGTTTCCTGTGTGAGGAAGATGATAGGAAGGAGAGGAGGTGTAAAGGCAGGTAGTAGGGGCAATAAATATGAGCAAAATAGAAGTACTAAAACATGAAACTAGAAACTAAGGGGCAGTGTGAGGAAGGGGGAAAACGGAGGGGGTAATATATATTGTGCTTTAGGGAAATCTGCCAGAATGAAATCCATAGATTTTTATAACCAATTTTAAAAGCTTTAAAAAAATCCAACAAATAACAAGGAATACTATTAAAACAGAGGAGGCTTCATATTGATCTGTAGTGTTTTGACACTTACCATTTATGGATAGCTGCATGAGGGTAGCTTCTCATACCCTTTAGGCTATGGGCGGGAGGTAAAGCAGTTTTTATCCATATAGAATTCAAAATGTCCCTCACCATTCAGAAATGTTCTGTTATCATTGTGTGAGGCAGTTTTCTGTCACTGTAACAAATACCTAAAATAGCCCCAAAAGAGAAAAGATTTACTTTGGCTCATAGTTTTGGAAACGTCAGCCTGCAGTTGATTGGCTCTGTAGCTTTGGGCCTGCCATACATCATGTGAGTGCCCAAGGAGACCTGTTCACTCCAGGTGGCAAGGAAGCAGGAGGAAGAAAAAGAAAGGGCTAAGGTCCCCATGTCCCTTTCATGAACATGCTCCCAATGACCTACCTTCCACTAAGCTCCATTAAAGGTTCTACCACTCCTAACATGCCACAGACTGTTACCACTTTTCTGTGGGACCCAAAATACCATACAGCAATCACTAAACAATCTCATAAAAAATAATAAAGATAAAATTTTTGTGTCTTTATAGTGTTTACCATCTAATCCGAATTTTCTAAAGCACTATGTACATGTACATTGAAAAAATATTGGCAAGTTACATACTACAAAGTTAACAGCAGTTATTCGAGGTGATCGCAGTTATTCTTCTTTTCTTTTTTTATATTCTCTGTTTTCCAAAATTTCCATAGTGAAAATGTTCAACGTTTGCAATAAGAAAAAGAAAGATTATTTTAAAGGTAATTTTAAACCTATGAACCATGAAGCGATTGCTATAGCTGTTGAAAATTTTCAAAGTTAAGTCCATTTGGTGTCGTGACAGTTAATACAGTGCTAATTAGCAAGTGGGAAAGCAAAGCAGAAGGCTCATTATTGTGCTGAGTCCCTGTGGCACCTCCTCAAGATCCCCTCTTCTGAACTTGTCTGGATTTTTGTTGGCTGGCTTATGCTTCCTCCTCTAGATTCTCCTGGGAGTGTGTATGGAAGAGAAGCACTATGCGAGCTCTCTGAGACGAATGCCTGTTATCACTTAACAAAGTTCTTCCTTTGGGGTATTTTTCTGTAAACACCAGGATCCCTTACATCATGCTAGTATCCACAATAGGAAAATATCCACTTATAAGCCATAATATAAAAAGAAATGAATCGCTTCCTGGAAAATAATACCATCTACTGACATGCAGCACCAGCATCCTTCCTGCCCCCCACATGCGTCTGTGGTCCCCGTGCTCACAGATTTGGTAGCCTCGCCCTCCTCACCCCCAACTGAGAAGGAATGGTCACTGGGGAGTGTGGGCTTGGTGCGCTGCTGCATTTCATTCTTTAGGACTTTGGCATATAGAGAGCACCGTCCCTGTTTTAAAGACAGGAAAACGTTGGAGGTCAGACCAAGCCAACATCACATCTACTAACACAGATCGTCCTAACTCCAGAGCCCAAGGAACCACATCAGCTTAGTTCTGGTTGAGAATAGAGCTGGGCTTCTAGGACTTTCATTCCCTTTCCCAGATGGGAAAAGAGAGCTGTGTAGGGTGAGGAAAGGGCTCTTAAGAACCAATGGTACATTCCAACTCAATGTATTATTGAATCTTCATCATAAAAATTAGCACAAGGTAGTATCTATGTACAGATTGTGTACCCAACTATTTTTGAGTCATGGGGAAGAACCTCTAGGTATATAATTATTATAAAATCTATTTTTGCTCTCACATAGTTTTTTTAAATTTTCACGAAGAAAATGTTTTCAAAGAATTAGAAACCAGACTTTTCACAGAAAAAAAAAAGCAACAGGATGCGTAAGGGAACAGACAGCAAGAGTAAGCAGATATTAATGAGAAATCAACAGGTAGCTGAAGGCTGAAGAAGACCAGAGTCAGGGTTAGGAGACGACTTGCAAATTCTTCCCACACTAAAACTTTTTTATGTCAGTGATTTTGTTCTGACGCTAAGACAAAGTTTGCTGGCCTTTGTGTTACATACTCTAAGGCTGGACAGATCTATCAAATTCCCAGAAAGACAGTTCACGTGAAAACCCTCTGTGTGTCTTGTTTAACTGGGAACACACTGCCCTTTTTGTAGGAATAGCAACAAGTTTGGCAGCGTGCCGCAAATGATTTCTCTTGTTGATCATGAGATCAGTGGCAAAAGAGGTGACAGCAGCCTCCGAAGAAAGCTGGCCACACAAGTCGCTGTGCCATTTCCTGGCAAACTAAGGCAACTGGAACAGACTGTTCGGATGCCTGTCATGGACTTAGATTGTGGCTATCTCGTAGTTTAAAGAAAAAACGTTTTTTAAAAATCTGGTAACAGTTTTTATAAAACACCTCTCTAGATTAAAAAAAAAAAAAAAAAAAAAACTACAGTTTTATTAAGCAAGCCTCCCGTGACCGTGCACTCCTCGCCCTTTGCCCCAGCGTGTCACAGTGAACTTAACCCCGGCGAGCGGTAGACGGGCCTCGCACACAAGGACCTAGGCCTTTATCGCGCTTCTCAGATTTGCCCAGAAGCCTTCCCGCCGAGCCTCCTCGGCCGGCCACTCCAGGTAGGTCCTGGTGTTCATGATCTTCCGCAGCTTGCAGAAGCGCTGCGGGATGGCCTTCTTCTCGATGGGCTCCAGCAGGACCAGGATGGCGGCGTCGTCGTTCTCGTCGAAGAGGCGGAAGTGGGAGAAGTCCAGCTCGTACTTGCACCACTCGCTCTTCACGAAGTTCTGCGAAAGCACAAACACGGTCTTGCGGCTCTTTTCGATGGAGTCGATGATGTTGTCCAGGATCCACTTCCCGGGGACGAAGTCGCGCTTGTGCAGGCACAGGCGGAGGGGCGGGTGGCGGTGCTCCAGCTCCTGGACCAGCAGCTCCTCCACCCAGCGGGCGTCGCGCTCGCTGTAGGACACGAAGGCGTCGAAGCAGAGGTCGCGGC